AAACAGTTTGTTTAGTCATGTATGACTCCAGTATTTATCTTGTATTAAATCTCAGCAGTGCTACCTGGCGAGGAAGGAAGAATGAAAGGATCATTTTAAATAGTCTGTTCCAGCACAGTATGAATCATTATTCCTTTCTTATGCACTCTGGGGGATATTCCCACATGTTCACATCTGCTGGATGAAACTTATCTAGATGGTTGTCGGTATAGAACTCTCTATGAACAGAAAGGCTAAATTGGAGTCCTTCACAGCACCCTTTCTTTTTCCACTGCCCAGAAAGCAGTACATCTTCCCAGTATTTAACCAAAAATAGACACTCTTAAAAGTAAATTATCAGTTATATAGGATGCATTTTAGTTTGATGATGTTCTCAGGTCAACTGCTGTTAATATTCACCACTGCAAATCTTGACCAATGAAACCAACATCAGTTCTCCCTGATATCGTGCAGGTGATCTCTGAGCAGAGAATGATGTGAAATTATTCAGCTTATTCAAATTCTGCAGCACGTACTTAAAGTTACAGCATAACCAGAAACTCCTGTGTGGGCCAAAAAAAACCACCATCATAGATCAAGCATCCCCAGGAAACACTGAAATGGAGAAAACCCAAGATTACTCTTAAACCCACAAACTAGAGAGGAAGTGGGGAAAGTAAGGGACTTTTCTTGTGCTTACAGTTGTACTAACAGTAGGTGAAAAATATTCTTGAGGAGGAAAATGTGCATGGATACTTCTTTTTCTAGTATATATCTAGGGGAAAAAAAGATCACTAAGCAACATGGTATTGATTTCTAATCAAATTGTTATCTCTCCCTTCCTTCCTCTCTCCTTCTCTGTTCTTTTAACTTATCACTCTACAGAACACAGGACAAAAACAGTGCAACAGGCTGTGCCATACGCAGTGGAAAGGAAACAAATGGACTGCATCCAAGCCAGAGCAGAACTGGAAACAAACACCACCAGTCCCACTGGCAAAACAATTAATGATTCAGAAGAGAGCGAGCAAAAGAAAAACTAACGAGGAAAGCGCTGTGTGTTTTGTTGGAATGTCTTGAGCACTGAGAAGCACGAGATGAGGAAGAGGTGTGATCGTGATGGTGAGCAGGGGGAAACTGCGAAACAAGAAACAGAAGGCATGAGGTTGGAGTCTGTGCAATCAGAAGCGTCTGAGGTGCGGTGAAGGACTGAACCAAGAGACAGAAGTGGCAGGTAATACTGTGGAGTTTGAAGCTGCATTTGAAGAGTTGGTGAGATCGGGAGCAGGTTTTGAGTACTAAAGGCATCACTCTAGAGAGTGTCACTGCCACTGTGGTGTGGTGAAGTCGGATGGACCCTCCTCCAGGAGAGGCTGTGTGAAGCAGTAGGGACTAAACTAGAGGCTGGGGGTCAGAAGAGTGATGGGTGTGTTAAAGAAAATTTGATATGTTTGACAATGTGCCCTCGGAGAATGACAAACTGTGCAGAGGGAAGTTGTGAAATGAGCAGCAGGCATTATAGAAGAGGACTGACAATTTCTCAACCTGTGTTCCCCAGAGCAGCAGTAAGGTGTTTTCTGCACGGACTGAAAGTGTGCTATTTTGAGGATTCAAATGGGAAATGAAGCATCGGTGCATAAGGCTAAGTATAATTTTGGACAGACGGTTCTTGCTTTCATAGTTCGTTAGACCCGATGGAGAAGGGAGAAGTGGTAAAAAAATCATTTCCGAAGCCATGATAGTGACAGGTTCCGTGCAGAGGGAAAGGGGAAGAAATTCAAATCTAAGTGACCACACACAACTAACAAGATATTTCCCCAAGAGAGTGATTGGCTGGTTCTTAGCACATTGAACAGACCACGGCTTTTTAGGCAGTGTTTCAATAGCCCAGTACTACAGTGCAGACATGAGCAGTAACACGAGTGTTGGATCTGGACCACACATCACAGAGTTCAGGTTGTAATTTTCCCTGGCAACAGGGAATTTTCCCCCACCACGCAGCTGCTGCAAATCAGTCACTGAAGTTCCAAAGAATCCACAAAAAGGTGAGAAATTCCAGAATGATTGTCTTTGCCATTGCACTCTGTCTGTCTAATGCTTTTTATCGTGCTTTTGGAGAGATGGTAATGAGAAGGGAGGGGAGAAAAATGGCAGAAAGGAAATCAAACATTTCCCCTCTCCTGCTGGTTAGAAACTGACTGTAGGTGTGTGATTGTCTTCATTGTTTTCACAGTCACAGAATCACAGAATTGTAGGGGTTGGAAGGGACCTCCAGAGATCATCGATTCCAACCCCCAATGGCTTTCCAATGGGGAAAGCCTCATTCTGGGAACACCTTTCCATGAACAAGCGCTATCATATTGCTACAAATGCATCTCTGTAAAAGAAGAGGCTCTATCCAAAGACATTAGCAGCTTTCATCTTAGATGATCACTTAAGATTAGCCAAGAAAACACAAGCGCATAACTTTGTGTTCATGGTTTTTGCGGTATCTTTCCTGGCTGACATCTGCCACAAGAACTGCATGCTGCTCAGCACATAAACCACAGGCAGGATGCTTAATCCCAAGAAAGAAAAAGATCACCTAGACTCTGCTAGCCGTTGTTTGATTCAGGCTTCCATTAACAAATTTCATAGAATAGAATAGAGATGCGAGAACTGTAAGTGACTTTTTGGATGTTCTTTCCCACAGTCAAAGAAGGATGTCTTAATTTCCATTACAGCAGAGTGCAGAATTACTGATGTTTTTTCATCTGTCCACAGGGCATTCATTGCATCCAGTACCTGTACCTGACAGTCTTGATGCCAGTGGTAGGAGGTGATATAGGCTGGCTTAACAGTAGTGGTCAATATATTAGCTTAAGTACCAATACATTAATTTAGTAAAAGCAATCAATATGTGCTAGTTCGGAGGCCGTGGCATTTAACATTAAGAAATTCTGCTCGACCAGCTTGTGTTAGACAGCTGTTCACCTGCCCACAGTGCAGACACAGCTCTGCAGGAGGGGATGAACTACCTTCTGGAGGTGACTGCTGAGGGCTGTTTCAGCTGCTTTCTGCTGTGAGTCGAGGTCTGATAATCTTTCCTCTGAGAGAGATCTACTGCCACTCTAAAAGGAGATAGAAAGGAAATCCACCATGTTAGGAGGCCACGTCTTTTCCATTTGCTCGCTATGGATGTTCGGGGAGGAGGCAGCTTTGGTAGTGCTGTAGGTCAGGCAGTTTGCTGCCCTCTCCAGGTAAGAAAAGTAGATTTTTTTCTCAGGGGTGCTCCACACCGGGCTTACAGACCTGCTGCAAACCACACTAAAACCCTTTGGCTGTCTTGTCCACACATTCAGCCTCTCATTGAAGGTGGCATTCTACGTTTGCTGTCAGCAAAGATAGGCAGCTGACTGCATGACTCCCCGAGGCACCTATCTTGGGACTGCATACATGACTCCTGGAGGTGCTTATCAACCTCCATTCATTCAAACTGAAAAATCAGGGGTTGCATTAAATGAGATATTTGTATTTCTAGTAGAGAATGCTAGGCATGATGGCCCCAGCAGAAATCCCAACCAAGCATTGCTGCTGTTTGTGCCTGCTACAGAATAATGCAGCAAGACTGTGTCCTCTACCCAGGCCATCAGCTGGGTGAAGAATCCTTCTGCAGCATGCATTTATCTAGCCTCTGTCCGCACAGTACTGAAGGCAATGTGTCTGGAGTGGTAAGACGAAACAAAAATGATTTTGTTCATCACACTTTGCCTGTGTAGGTAGTCTGCAAGTACATCATGGCATTCTACAGAGAGGGAAGAGACCGTTTGTGACAGTGCAATGATTCACCTTTTCCCAGACCTCCCCACTTCAACTTGTTCCTCTCTTGCAGCTGTCTTTCAGTGCACTTCTCCGCCTTCCTGTGTCTGATTTAAGAGCTGGTGGGGATAAATTAAAAAAGAGGCAATATTTGGGTTGGGGGTTGGTTGGTTTGGTTTGTCGGTTTTGGTGTTTTTAGTGTTCTGCAAGATTGTCATTCAGATCCCAGTATCGTGGGGGAAGGAGTAGGGTGAACAGCCCCAAGGAATGGGGTGAAATAAATTGTTAAACCATAATAATAATAATAATAACCATAATAAACTCAACGTGAGCTGGCACAGAAAGCCAACGACATCCTGGGATGTATCAAAAGCAGCCTGCCCTGCAGGGGGAGGAAGCTGATTCTCTCTCTCTGCTCTGCTGCCACTGTATTGTGTTCAGCACTGGGCCCTCAGCTGGACCAGAGGAGGGCCACGAGGATGCTCAGAGTGCTGGAGCACCTATCCTATGGAGACAGGCTGAGGAAGAGCTGGGCTTCTTCAACCTGAAGACTCCGGGGAGATCTTGCTGCTGCCTTCCAGTACTTCAGAGTAGCTTATAAGCAGGAGAAGGACTGACTTTTCACATGAGCAGATGGTGATAGGACAAAGGGGAATTGTTTTAAACTAAAAGATAGGAAATTCAGGTTAGATGTGAGGAAGAAATCCTTTACACAGAAGGCAGTGAGGCCCTGGCACAGAATGCACAGAGAGGCTGTGTAAGCCCCATCCCTGGAGGTGCCCAAGGCCAGGCTGGATGGTGTCCTGCACAGCCTAAGCTGGTGGGGTGCAGCCAGCCCATGGGCAGGGGTTGTGGCTGGGGGGGTTTTGAGGTCCCTTCCAACCCAACCATGCTGTGGTTCTGTGATTCTACAAATTGCTGTGAGCGTCACAGTGTGCTGTGAGGGTCAGATGCTTTGTCCCATGTATGGTTCTTACAATTTCTCTAAGAAAATTAAAGGCTGACCCTGTCAGGCTGAAGTGCTTATTGTTGATACCCACGGCCCAAGGGAACAAACCTGTTACAATGAACTACACACCTTATAAAAAATCAAAAGCAGTCATCTACAGTATAGATGGTAGTAGTCTCTATCACGTTTTCTGTGCATTATGCATAGGGCAAACCTCAATGAGCTGTAACACTTCTTAACGTTGTATAAAGACTGCCTGCAACTTTTACACCCTTCTGACAAAACTTATCTCACCTAATCCTAGCAGCATGATGCTAAGACACTTGTGCCATATTTGTTAACGCTGGGTTCTTCTTATATACAGGCAACAAAAAGAGGCACTTTTCAGGCACGATTGACCTGAGATGCTCTTGCTTTTTTTAAAAACAAATGTTTCCCACTGTAAAAAGACCTCAGAAGTGAATTAAAACAAAGGAGTGACAAACATGCGGTTTAAATTTTCCTACATGCTGTATAGAATTTGGCCTGAAATACAACATTTTGACAAGTGCCTTAAAACTCTGCCCTCTATCCCTCTGGCATCTAGCTCTGGCTACAGAGATGAATCCAGAAACACCATCGGGTTATCATGAGGGAAACCCACGAGTTACCACCTCTCTCATCTCTGCCCACAGGTGTGTGCAAAGTCACCCAACATGAGTGCTTCAACTACACCATTCTTCCTCCCAGACGCAGACAACCAGGCTCAAGGAGCGAATCACAGCAGTGCTGCAGGAAAGCCAGAGCCATCCTATGCCGTTCTCAAGTTCATGGAGAGCTTCTGCCTCATCAGTGCCACCTGTGGGATGGTGGGAAATGGCATTGTTCTATGGTACCTTGGCTTCTGCATCCGCAGAAACCACTTCACTGTCTACATCCTAAACCTGGCTGCTGCTGACTTTGGCTATCTCCTCTGCATCGCCATTGAAACTGTCCAGTATCTGATGCAGTTCAACGTAGGGGTACAGTTTGGGATATTCCTCTTCCTGGATCTTTTCATGTATGGGACTGGCTTGTATCTCCTGACAGCCATCAGCATTGAAAGGTGCCTCTCCGTCCTCTGCCCAATCTGGTGCCGAAGCCACCGCCCAAAGCACCTGTCTGCCATCATCTCTGGCTTGCTCTGGGGCCTTTCTCTGCTGCTGAACATGGTCGGCTATATTCTGTGCTCCATCCAGCCCACTGGCAGCTGCCGGATGCTGCTCATTGCCATTGGCGTCTTGGATTTCCTGGTCTGCACACCCCTCATGCTGTTCTTCAGCCTGACCCTCTTCCTCAAAGTCAAGTGCAGCTCCCAGAACTTACGAACAGGGCGGCTCTTCACTGTCATCATGCTCACCGTGCTCTTCTTCCTCATTTTTGCTGTGCCCCTCAGCGTCCTCATCCTCTTTGACTTCTTGGGCTACAAATTCCTCTATTCGCCCAAGATTGGCTTTGTGCTGTCCTGTGTGAACAGCAGTCTCAACCCTGTCATTTACTTCCTTGTGGGGAGCTACAGGGACCGGAGAATCAAGTTCACCCTCAGGCTGGCATTCCAAAGGGCCTTTGAAGATTCAGCAGATGACAAAGAGGAACGGGATACCCGCGACACAATAACCATGTCCTCCTAATACCCTTCTGTGCCCACTCAGTAGTAGTGCTCCGGAGATGAGAGGTGATTGTTCACAGAGCTGAAGAACTCTGAGGTACTGCTGGAGGTCCATCCCACCCAACCTTAACAGTCTCCATTCTGAACGCCTGCCCTCTCACTAGCTGTTTGAAGCTCTGCCCACAGTAGGACTGCATTTCTTTTCAGCAGCCATTAAATGATAAGGCGAAATGTCTTGGTGGCTGCATTTCATCACAGGAATCCTGCTCAGTTTACCACTCGATATTAAGTTCTGTTTTTCAGAGCATCAATATTTAGTCACTCTTTTTTTACACAGATCTCTGAAGATGAGGGCGGATCTATGATCTTCCTGTTGAAATCAGATAAGAAATTCCCAGAAGAGAGTCCAACAATTTTATCAGCAACATATGCAATCTTTGCGGTTCATAGGGTGAATGATTCTTTGTTTTCTAATGTGAGCATTTCAAATAGTGAAATGCTTCATGTTCTGGAAGTCTCTGTTCATTAGTTAATAGCTATTAGTAAATAGGAGCGTCTCACACTATAGATGTAATGTAGTAGAGAAGAGCTCCATCCCCTTCCAACTTGCCTTGCAACTTCATGCACTGCGTTGCATGCACTGTTTTCTTGCATTTCAAGTAAATACAGAGTCAGAGTTGTGTATCATTTTAGCTTTCTCCAACACAGCACAAAAGTACCTGCATTTAACTGCAGCAAGAATTGGGTTGTTATTTCTTCCCTTCACGGATGATAAGAACATGGCATCCAACATGCCTTGACCTACTGGAAGAAATAAGGTCAAAGAAAGGAAAAAAAAAATAATAAAACAGAAAATGGAAGATAAGTACATATCAGAAATTTGCAACAAATTCTTTTCAGACCCAATGACTGGACACATAAGATGTGATTGTTTGAAATGTTAGACTATCACTCCACACAGTATTTGCTCTTTTAACCTAAATCAGTAAGATAATACAAGACATTTTCTATGAGAAAGCTTGCTGATTTCCTCTTCATACCCTCATCTGCAAGTAGTTTCTTAAGGGAAGCTGCATTCTTCTACTGTCTATTCCCTTTTCTCTGTTCATTTGCCTTTTTTTTAAATACTGAAAAATACCACTTAAAAATAGTGGTCACCCCAGCGTCTGTGGTTGCTTTTTACTTCCTGTTTACAGTTTTTGAAAGCTGAAAATTGAGTCTCATTTCTATTATTCTTTAATTTTTAATGCCATTTTTTCTCCATCGTACACATAGTTGATTCAGACCAGGCCTATGTCATCAGTTGTTTTTAGTGAGATTTTCTTTTCTTCTGACTTCTACTGATAGGGGGAAGAGCCCGTCCATTTATCTGAAAGCATGTTAAAATGTATTCTTTTTAATATCTGTAATGATTTTATCATTGGGAGAGAAGAAGCTCAGCTCATTTCCTTTATTATTAAAAATGTTCCAAGCCTTTTTTTTTTTTTTTAATGGAAAACAATCTCTATTAAAAACTAAATATTTATCTTCTCAGAAGAAGCCATCAACTGATGAAAACCTATGGAATGTACACTGTAAAGAACTTTCCATCCTGATTGTCCCTACACGTACCCATCACGAAGACAAGTGCCATTCAGAGCAAACACACCTTCTAACTTTTCCCTTGGATGTTTAAAAGGTGATGCTTGTACCTAAATGACAACTGTAGGCACCCTCGACCACGCTTGGTATGAGACAGGCATTCTCAGAGGTGGCATCTGCAGATATTTGCAGATGGTCCAGAAGTCAGTGATAGAATCAGCAAGGAAATGGACGTCCTTTACAGAATTTCCCACCCTGAACTAACACAATGGGAAGCATAACAATGCCACAGGAAGGGAGGGGAAGGAAGCAGGGAGAAGGCTATGATGTCCTGTTTGAAGGAAGAGAGTCAGAATCAGCTAACTGGGGGCAGGAGGAGAGGCAATACCTCTAGACAGTTTTCTTTTGCATTGTTTAGGGGTTTCGTAAGCTCACAGCCAAGTAGTGTCTCACAGCCCACAGAGCAACTTGGGATCAGGTGAAAAGGAGAGCAGGGGAGGTAAAACAGTGCAAACAGGCTTGCAAGTTGTATGCTTTAAAAGCTTGGTCACCCAGCCCTATCCAGGCTGGAGACAGCATTTCAAAGTAAGTGTCTGCAGGCAAGAAGTCACATATAAAAGACTCAGCTTGACACCAAACTCTGCATGATTTTAACTAATAGAGATGACAAAGTCAAGTAATTACATCACAAAATGTGGGTCAGATCTGCTCAAAGTCGATTCCTGAATGTGAAAGCAGAGGAAGACCCTTGCTTCCTCGTAGTATGGCACCTGGAGCCTGAGGGTGACTTGTCCCTCAGGGGCCAACACCTATCCATCCCACAACTTGCACAAACACATTGTTAGAACTCTCTCTTCCTCACCCCATTGGGATGAGCCATTGTTTTTTGTGGGGTGCAGTGGCATGATTAGGTCAAAGCCTGAACCAGTGGTTGAGCACTAGGTGAGAAGGCCTGGCTAACCCAGGGAGCTCAGGTGCAAACAATGCACCTGAGTGACTGGAAGAAGTGGAGCCTGGATCCACCCCTCCTCACCTTCATTTAAGGGCTGGCAGTGGAGGGAGCAGCATCTCTCTGCATAGGGATTGTATTTCTCTAGAGCTATCCCTGGTCATTGGAAGGGGTGAACCAATCTTCCTTCTTTATTACCTGTTATTGCTCCGTGGTGCCTGTATCTCATTTGAAGGTACTGTCATCACCTTCTTTTGCAGTACATGGTGTCAGTGACAGTATGAGGGGTGGGGCACTGCACAGGAAGTGCATTTTGAAGGAAAAACTGGGAAAATGTATGCTTAGACTAATCTAATCCCAGTCAAATCTGATTTCACAAGAAAGACAAAATGAAACAAATTTCATTCCTTTGAGAATTTCTGCTATCTCTTCTTGGCTGCTTGTTTATACATCTCCAGCTTAAGAGCATTTGGCCCTAGTACAAATGCATACAAAGCCTTCCAAAGATTCAAGATGTATACCAGCACAGCGCTAGTGATGGAATTTCTGGGAGGTGATTTGCTCCCCACCTGATCTAAGAGCAACCAGAGCAGAAACGTGGCTTTGCCTCATGACATAGAAGAACTCCCTTCTCAATTGCTGCTGACTTCACCCCATCCTATTCCATGCAGTAAACACATTCCTTCCTGTCAGAACCTGCTCTGCTGTGCTTGCCCTAAAGAACACACAATGAAACCTAAAGATAGAAACATCCTCCCCTTCCCAAAAATCCAATGGGATAAATTAGAAACTAAGAGAAAGAGCCTGAAGCAAATTACAGATGCCAGACTCTTTGAGAGCTCAATTCAGCTGCACAGGTAAGCATTTGAGGACTAAGTTGACCAATTCCTCACCATCTGCATGGTTTCTGGTGCTCTGTCTCTCTTTTGTACCATTTTCTGGCCCCTCTTATATGCATATATGCATGCACAGCCACTGTGCAGCCACGCCTGCCCATCTCCTATTATTCTAAGTAGCAACATTCCACTTACTTTTCTCTCTTTTTTGTTAGGTAGTCTTATACTTTTCTCCTCTGCACTTATTCCACACTTGGCTGATTCCCACCTCTCCAAATTCTTGAGAGATTTTGTCCTCTCCTCAGCACCTTACATCATGCTAGCTGTTAAGCATATGCCCCTCAAAAGCCAGCTGTCCAAGGCACAAAGCCTAGGAATGACCAACATGCCAAGCAGACCCTCTTCTTAGACGAGTCTGCTGCCTTCCTGGGGGTCAGGTGAGGAACATCACCAGGAAACTACCTAGCCTGGTAAAGCCAGCAGACCACGTCCCCTTACTGCTTTTCCATATAGGGAGAGATGAAGCAGCTACATGTGGATCAAGGGCTATCAAAAGGAACTTTGTGGCCTTGGAATGACAGCTGAAGGAGTTTAATGCATACATCATATTTTCTTCTGTGCCTCCTGTATTGGGTAAGGAAATGGAAACCAATCAAAGGATCTTATCTTTAAATACCTGGCTTCATGGCTGGTGCCATCATAGGAACTCTGGTATTCTTGATAACCAAATGGCCTACGTGGCACCAGGAATGCTCAATGCACAATGTGTGGGAGAGGAAATAACGTGTAAATGACTGTCAAAGGCAGCACTAAGAATAAGGCAAATCGTAATGAAAAGACACAAAGAGAAGAATGAAAACAAGAAATGGAGGCTGAGCCAGGTGAATAATTTTTTATATTAGACACAGGAAAAACCTTCAAGTCACTGTGGGGTGAAAAATGTCAGAAAAGTGAATTTTCTTTTATAGCAGCTGATTCCAACTGTGTTAGTCTAGTATTTAATAGCTGTTCCTGCTCTCTAGAGGTGAATAACACAAAGTCCAGAGATATTTTTTCTTTAGACCTAGATTCAATTAGACAGATACAGAATCCCCCAGAGAACCACAAGGACTTATTTATTGACCAAAGGGAACAAGAATTTATTATACTGGGATGAGGGCATGGGGACCCTCCATCTGTCTGGGCTGCCTGCAAGGGTTCAGCATCTCCAGGCCCTGCTGCTCCCATCTGACCCCTGCCTGGGCATTTCTGCTCCCCAGTACATAGCATCTGCATCACTGGAAGTCTTTGTAAGAGCCTGAGATGGTGGCCACAAAGCTGAGTGTGTCACCATAGACAGATGTTGGGTAAAAATGACTGCAAATAGAAGTTAAGCAGGTGGAAAAGCCCTGAGCACCCCCCACACAATGCCTGACAAGTGACTGTGGTGGTGGCATCAGTACCAGACTTAGAAGAGCACAGAAAAACATCACTCCACACTGCTTTCAGGAGATACACGCTGCTGAAGGGACAAAAGAGAAACATGAGATGAACTACAGGAAAAATCAAAGCTGTAAAGTTCAAAGAAACAAAAATCTCACGCTGCAAATGGTAAGCAAAATAAAAGAGGATCGGATCAAAGGCGGTGATGGCCAGGGTCAGGATACAGACAGCAAAGGGGCTGTTCTTAGCATGAAAGACCAGGAGCCACAAAGCCACCAAATGCATCACCAAGCCACAGAGCCAAGCACCCCACCTAAACAGAGATAAGTCAACCAGCAAAGCTTGTCATTCATCAGAAGAGCTGCTCCCTACCCCTGTCCCTCACAGCATCCAAGGAATCATTGAAAAGAGAGGAGTCTGTTGAGGTGGTCTCTGCCATAGTGAAGCTGCTGCTCTGGTTGGCTGTTTCATCCCACTCCCACCACCTCCTATGAGAAACAAGGAAGAAAAGACAGATGAGGGGTATTGGTGGTCCCAACACTTGCCATCTCTGCCCGCAGCTCCTCACTATCATTCCTTTTGTTTTCTTTCTCCTACCCACCAGCTTTACCTTGCTGGGTTCCACTGCATGTACCTGGTGCTGGACCAGGAGACCCTCCACACTGAGAAATCAGCAGCGTGTGGATGCATGACAGCATCCAGGCTTCACCCACTGCCTCTTATTGACTGGCCCAGGCAGGTTACTTCACAGATTGCATCTGAAGGTTGGAAAGGGCTGAAAATGGGGTTTTACCTATTACAGATTCTTGTCTCACCAAATCTTATTCATCTGCACCACGGGGACGATTCACTGTTTTTGTTTTTTCTCCATTCACATGCTCTCTTTCTCCCTCTCTCTCTCTCCTTCTCTCTCCCTCCCTTCCATCCCCTAAATTGTAATATTATCCCATGTCTTCCTTCTCTACCCTGCTTCTCTACCCTTGTTTCCCACTCTGATCCATTGATTTGCCCAGTTGTGCAATCCTTTTTGAAGAACCCTTCCTTGCTTGAATAGCAGAGATGTCCTGCGATCCCGCGGGGATTACATGCCATACTCTCCCTCAGCAGATCATCGCAAAGATGTCTTCACCAAAGTTAAAGCTAAGATACATGAAGGAAACCAAAGACACACTGAAAGCCCACAGCAGCCCACTCACGATGCCTGCCAAGTGCTTTGGCTGACGGCATCGATACCAAGTGGGGAAGAGGATGGAGACACACTGCTCTACACTGATGGCAGTAAGGAGACCCAGGCTGCTGAGATCAAAGAAGTGGCATAAAAATTCAACTGCAATGTAAATTTTCATGTAGGAAAAAAAAATGTTGTCAAAGAGAGAACAGATGGTTAAGCTCAAAGTTAACAACACGAGCAGAGAAAAGAGGAGGAGCAGAGAGAAGTCAGCAACGGCCAGGTTTAGAGTGTAAACAGTGAATGGGTTCATGAAAGAACAGGAGTTGCATGACTATCACGTTATCCAAAAGTCCACAGAAAGAAATCCCCATACAGACACCTAAATTGACCTTATATTCATAATTCAGTGTGAAGCATTCGAAAGAGTCTGTGTACCCAGAAATGGTGTAGTTCAGCACGACGCCTGCTGAGGTGGTCTCCTATGGAACACAAGAAAGGGGAGGC